GCTTGCCAGGAGGAAGATGAATGGAACTGATCGAAACGGTTCTGCTCTGCAAGGTAAAGGTTTAAACTTTAAGGCATCGTTTGGTGTTTTCGATTAGATTTTAATTGATAACGCACTACTTTAATTGATAAGAAATTTTCTTTGCAGGGAATTTTCTTGGATTCAACATCAGCAGAGAGGCGAATTCATCACCAGCACACTTGGGGAAGAATATCCAGAAGGTCGCGGGTAGTTTCGAACTGCCATTGTTGTTATGATACTAATTTATGTGATGAAATATAGAAGCACAAGTGTAGTGATAGTTTGCTGCTGTTTTCTTTTTGGGAAAAAACAGGGTATTGAAAGTGCAAAGATGTGCGGTGTTGATTATGGGCTTGGTGGTGTTCCTTGGCTTGGGGACTTCAGCTCGGTAAATGACAGTGCTTCTTTTGAGGAGTCTGAGCAAATGAGCTCATTCTGTAATCGCGAAGAATATCAGCTGTTTGACTCTTTCCTCTCAAAGTTCACAACCGTTGCACGGGAGTTCTTTCTACCTCCCGAAAGGTATAAATTTGGTCTGGTCTCAGAAAGATCGATGCTCTCAACTTTTGGGATTGAAGATTCCAGTACATGGTTGGCAGTTCTGTACTTATCTGGATGCCCCGGCTGTTCAAAGATTATTAAGAAAGAGGAGGACCTCAAAAATGCTTTACAGATGGATAATTTGGTTGTTACGGAGGTGAGTTATCTATTCTTCCCTTTGGATTACTAAACATATTTTCGGTTAACTTATACTTACATGTACAAATTGGTGCATGAATAGGGCAGTAGTTCCAAGTTTAGGTTCCACGCATGCTAAGGGATTAAAACAGCGGTCAATAGTATCTCATCCTGCATGTTTACTTCTTTTTTCTTTGTGCTATACTAATTCTTTTTATAATTTATTGTGGATAGCTCACTTTGTTATTAAAATTAGCAGTGAAAAAATTGATCCATAATATTTTGTAGTTGGAAGGTCTTGGAAACACTTTGAAGCCTGCTTTACCTGCAAACCAACCATCAGCACTCCTATTTGTGGATAGATCATCTGACTTGTCAGAGACTAGAATAAAATGTAAGAAAGCTCTTGATGCTTTTCGAGAGCTGGCACTGCACTATCATATTTCACGCCAAAGTGGTGGGCAATATGGAGACAAGTCTGAGAAATCCTCGGTCCAAGATTATCAAGCATTAAGGAGTACATCTGGATATCCAAAACTAAAGTTGTCTCAGACAATCAAATTAAACGACAAAACGTCTACTTTCATGATTGTAGATGAAGGAAAGCAAGTCACTTTGGATAATATAGCTTTGGATCTACAGGGTAGTTCCTTGAAGGAGATCTTGGATATCGTACTTAAGCAAAAGAACAAAGGTAAATTAAGCTCGCTTGCAAAAGAGTTAGGTTTCCAACTTTTATCAGATGACATGGACATCAGGTTAGTGAATACATTGCCAGTACAGAAAGAACTTCAGTCTGATCAACTTACAGAAGAGCTGTCTAAGGAAGGCCTTGTGACAAGTAGTGTTAATTCAGACAAGGATCAATTGCCACACAGGACTAGTGTATCTGCTGAAGAGCATCTGGAAACTTCGGAAGTCACAGATTCTGACATCTTTTCTCAGACTGATGAAGAGAAAACAGCATATGTTGGTACAAGTAAGCAGTTCTTATCTGCAGATAGTGAACAACATCTTGTAGATCATAAACTTGATAGTACTGAAGATATAAAGGTCGATGAAGAAAGTTCTTCGCAGGAAGACAAATCAGGGGAGCAACAGCTTTGCTCTCAAGGTTTTGAGGGCTCTTTTTTCTTTTCTGATGGTAATTATCGATTACTTAATAGTCTCACTGGTGGATCAAAAATTCCTGCCTTGGTGATAGTTGATCCCATTGCCCAGCAACATTTTGTCTTCTCAGAAGAGACTGATCTTAGCTATCCTTCACTGGCTAATTTTCTTTCTGGGTTTGTTAATGGAAGTCTTCTTCCATATCAACAGTCTGAATCTGTTCTTCAAAGCTCTAGGGAGGCCACTCAACCACCATTTGTTAATCTGGATTTTCGTGAAGTGGATTCTGTCCCTCGAGTTACAAGTCATACCTTCACCGACCAGGTGATTGGGTTTAATCAATCAGACACTGACGCTGGAATAAGGATGTCTTGGTCCTTTTTAGCAATAGATGGTGTGGATTTTGCCAGAGAATGGAATTGGTTGTTCGTGAAATATATCGGGCTATGAGGGACTATATTAAGTTGCTGAAAAGTGGATCAAAGAATGAGAAAACAAGGTTTCACGATGGTAACTGCATTCTAATAATATTATAAAGATGGGTTATATAAAACGTTATCTCCATGTTTAGTCCATTTTTGTCTTACTGGTCCTGTATTCATATGATTGGCTACATCTGACAGGCGACTTGAAGGATGAAATGCTGAAGCTTCCATTAGTATACTTGCTTGATTGCACCTTGAATGATTGCAGTTTGATATTGAAATCAATGAATCAGGTGTGTCTTGTGGAATGCACTAATATTTCTCCTCGTATATATTTATAGTAGTGTGAATACGTATCTTTTAACCTAGCTGGCTTTTATTGTTATATCTGTAGTTTCATTTCTCCGTTTCTAAGTAGCGTATGTTCTGTAACCTATTCCTGAAGAACAATAAATTAAAAATTGTTCTTGAATGTGTGAAATTCGTGTTTTTTTGTGTGCTCATACCTTTGTTGGAAAAGCAGAGGGAAGTTTATCCTGCTCTCGTGCTCTTTCCAGCTGAAAAGAAGAATGCTGTCCTTTATGAAGGGGATATGGCAGTCACTGAAATCTTCGAGTTTATGGCCGATCGTGGAAGTAACTCGGATGATCTTATCAGTGAGAAGGGTAATTCAATTTAATGTGCGATGTTTATACTACCAATGTCTATGGATCCTTAACTTCTTATAGTAATTTTCCTTGTTCAAGACTTATGTCGTCTACTTGTTGATGATTTTGTAGGAAGCTTATGGACTGTAGCAAAAAAGTGGGGAAGGAATCAAAATTTATTTAAGGTCCAGTCTTCTGACATTCACGAGGGAGCTCCCTTTGAAAAGGACACACTTCATGAAATACTTTTAACACAGACGCATAAACAAGGCATTAGAGACAATCAGCCCGAGTCACACACATCACAAGGTTTGCAGGAAGCAGCCCTGCGTGTGGTGACCGGTTCCACTTTAGTTGCTACTGATAAACTTCTTACTGTACATCCCTTTGATAAATCAGAGGTTCTTATCGTCAAGGCAGATCGAGTTTCTGGATTTGAAGGTCTGATTATTAACAAGAATATCAAATGGGATGTTCTTCTTGAATTGGACAAAGGGCTGGAGATGCTATCCGAGGCCCCTCTGTCTTTTGGAGGACCACTTGTAAAGGTTGGAATGCCTCTAGTTGCATTAACTCGAAGATTTGTTACGAATGAGTATCCGGAAGTCCTGCCGGGTGTTTACTTTCTTGATCAATCAGCAACACTTCGTAAAATCAAAGAGATCAAGTTAGGAAATCAATCTGTCAGCGACCACTGGTTTTTCTATGGGTATTCAAGTTGGGGTTGGGACCAACTCTTTGATGAGATTGCTGAAGGAGCTTGGGACTTGAGTGATGATGGTACGAGGCATTTGGATTGGCCATCGGGTTGACAGTTTTTCGACGTGATAGAGTTTTCGGAGCATCGCACAGAGGAAATTGGTTGAGCAAGCGCTGAAGGAGGTTTTAGAGAGAAATAGGTCTGCACACAAAACAATTTGACATGTTTGTAACATCTTATGTGCAAAATACTGTAAAAATATTGGAATTTTTAGTTCATTATGTTACTAATCGAACTACAGGCTTGACTTGGATGTAACCTTCATGAGAAGTTATTTATATAGAAAACCTTCATGAGAATTTAATCGATCTTTTCTGAAATGTGGTTCATTTCGATGCTCTTTCTTTCTGTGTGGGTCGATGACGGGGAGAGAGGGTGAATGTGTCGAGGCGGCGCCACTAAAGCTTCACGCCATAGGATACTGGTCCCCAAAGCGATCAATACAGACATTTTGGTTGGTATTTCACCTCGATGTCGATGGTACCGAGAAAACCACCCGATTATTCATCTATAATGTCTCTGCAAGAGAATGAGACTTTAATTCGTTTCGGTCCACTTAGGACTTAACCTTAGGGGTGTGATATTCACACATCTCATTACTTCTCACACACCTTTTAAAATTTCGGCCGTCGGATCGGATGAATTGAAAAATATCAACGGACATAAATTATCAAGGGGTGTGTGAGAAGTAAAATAGGGTGTGTGGATAGCACACCCTTAACCTTATCGTGGTTCTACTTAGAATGAGAGGTGCTCGTCATACCGAAATTTCCCTTCTATTCATGAGAGGACGGCTAGAAAAATAGCTTCTAGGGGTGTGCTATCCACACACCCTTTTTACTTCTCCCACACCCCTTGTTAATTTTTGTCTTTTTATCTTCTTCAATTCATCGGATTGGACAGCCGAAATTTAAAAGGGTGTGAGAGAAGTAAAAAGGGGTGTGTGGATATCACATCCCTAACTTATATTAATTTTTAGGGGTGTGCTATTCACACGCCCCTTTTTACTTCTTACACAACTTTTGTTAATTTCTGCCATTTGATATTCTTTAATTTAATCTATCTGACGGTCACAAATTAAGAGGGTGTGTATGAAGTAAAAAAGGGTGTGTGGATAGCACATCCCAATTTTTATTGACTTGTTTGATTATTTATTTTTTGTTTACTTTTCTTTCGGTGTTTGCGTTATACATGACGTCGTTTGGCAAATAAATTATAGATGGAGATGTCATATTTGTCAAAGAAGATGGTCCACACGCTAAAAACATGAAGAAAACTACTCCAAATAAAACAAATGGAATCATTTTTCGATCCATAATAACAGTCAACTGGACGTCATCATGAGTGTGCGTGTGCTCTATAAATTGCAGATATCTCTCACTGACAACCTGCACAATTCGTGAGAGAGAGAGAGAGAGAGAAGGTTGAAGATGAGCAGCAACGAAACCACAGTGCCGGAAGCCTATCCGATGAACGGTGGAGATGGCGCATACAGCTACACCAAAAACTCCAATTGCCAGGTTCCTTCAGTTCTATCAACTAATGTAGTTGTTCATGTTCATAATTTTCATGTTAAAAAACGATTGGATAATTTGCGTTAAATTTATCTATATTAGGGGGTAGGGAGATTCAAACTTGGGTGTAGGTGAGAGCACATTGCTCTAGCAAACTCGACTAATATGCATTCATGTTTCGAATTTCAATTCTTATGAATAAATGAACTTTTGCCTTGCTCTTCCAATAGAAAATTTTGTAAGAGGTTTTGTTGACACAAACTATATTTTATACTGTGCAGAGAGCTGCAGCAAATGTTTCAAAGAGTCTACTTGATGATGCAATAGCAGAGAAGCTTGACGTAGAGGACTTCTCTTGCAATCCAAGCAACGCATTTCGGATAGCAGATTTGGGATGTTCAGTTGGACCAAACACTTTCTTTAGTGTCCAAAACATTCTGGAGGCAGTGAACCACAAGTACCAATCCCAATGCATCTCCTCCCAAATGCCTGAATTCCAAGTATTCTTCAGTGATCATGTTGCCAACGATTTCAACACCCTTTTCGCATCTTTGCCTCCGGAAAGGCAGTACTTTGCAGCTGGCGTGCCGGGATCTTTCCACGGCCAGTTATTCCCCAAGTCCTCGCTTCATTTCGTGCATTCTTCGTATGCAGCTCACTGGCTCTCTAAGGTACCGGAGCAAGTGGTAGACAAGAACTCTCCGGCGTGGAACAAAGGGAAGATTTACTACACGACCTCCCCTGATGAAGTAGTTGATGCTTATGCAGCCCAATTTGGTAAAGACATGACAGCATTCTTGGAAGCTAGGGCTCAAGAGCTTGTGGTGGGTGGAATGATGGTGATAATCATGCAAGCCATCCCAAACGGGACCCCTCCATCTCGGATTCCAAATGGCATCATGTTTGATTTTCTGGGGTCTACTCTCATGGAGATTGCCAAGGAAGTAAGTCAGTTGGCAACTCTTACGTGTTCAATTAGAAAGATTCAACAGACGAGAATTATGTTAGTTGGTTATGACAATGCGTTTGTCTCTTGCAACGCACCTAACTTCCTCTATGTTTGTTTTGTAACACTTGACTCGTAGGGATTGATTAGCGAAGGAGAGGTGGACTCGTTCAACATTCCAACATACAACACAACTCCGAAGGAAATGATGGAGGTGATCGAAAGAAATGGATGCTTCAGCATAGCGAGAATTGAGTCGACAAGCCCATGGTCAAAAGCCGGTCATATGATCAACGGGCCGGGACTCACAATGCAGCTCAGAGCTGGCATGGAGGGAGTTTTCAAAACACATTTTGGAACTGAGATAACGGACCAAATGTTTGATAGGGTTTATGAAAAAAGTGGAGAACTTATTCACAAAATAGAATCCAGCTGCAAAGAAGGAACTCAGTTGTTTCTTGCTCTCAAACGCAAATGAAGCAACACAAATATTGTGCTAAACACTTTCTTATGTTTAGTTAATACTTTTCTTTTGGTATATCTCTTGAAAGCGGACTTTGTATTTGACTATTCTGCATATGTTTTATTTCTTTTGAGTAAACCTATTCATTTGAAAGAATTCCATACACTTTTTGAAAGGACTCCAAAAACTAAATGAACAAAAGTCGTGCAAATAACTTTAAAAAATGACATTTTGAGTGACATTCTTGTGCAACTCATTCATTATCTGTCGGAGCTCAACTTGGCCTTTAAAACTAGCTTCTAAGGAAGTGTTGCCCAAGGGTTCTTAAACAATTCTTTGTATCGTTCCAATTTTATCTGGGCACTCTCGAAGGGACACTTTTAGTCACTTCAAAATATGTTTTTTTTCTTCGATGTAAGATGATTCTGCAGAGAGAAAATCACCTACCCAAATAAGTTGGGTGGACATGATTTAGGCCCGACAATTGGCGCTACCCAAGTTCAAAACTAGAGCCCAAATTTCAAAATCTTACCCAAAAAGGAAAAACTGGGAGTCCAAAGCGGGTGATTGGGGGTTCGGCCGGCCGGTTTGGATGTTGGACCCGGTCAAACGCGACAAGAAAATGATGAAGTTTCCAGCGAGTGTCTTCCTTCGAAATGGCACTAAACATTCTCCAATCAATCGATCAAATATTTGTCGGTCTGTGAATTGTGAAATGGAGGAGGAGCCCTTGAGATTGCAGAATTGGGATTCGATTCCGGTTCAGCTGCAGTTACATGGCATTTTCAATCTCTGTATCCTCTGAAGCTGCTGCTCCAACGGTAATTCCAACCATGGCCGACTTGCCCAAGGTCAAACTCTTCTCCCGTCTCCCCTCGCGTTCTGTTCTTCTTCTTTTGTAATTTAGCAATTTTCTTCTTCTGTCGTGGGCAAAACTTAATCAGATTTTTTTGTAAATAAATTCGTCCTTTTTTTTTCCTTGTAGTTTCTTTTGCATTTTTCTGTCCCCGTTCTTCATATTTATTGATTTTCCTCTTTTTCCAAAAGCTAAATGGTAATCGGAAGCTGGAAGCGCTTAAGCTTATCGATCTGTTTATTTCTTTTAACTTTTGTTTTGGTTGTTTTTAGACCGAGTACAATAACAATTCTTGCCTGATTATTTGGTAAAAGTGCTTTTTCTGTGAATATTCATTTGTTAAATTTGCTTTTGCTTTTGAATGATTGGCATTCATGTTGCAAGAAATAAGTTGTGCTAGATTATTCGGTTTCCATAAAACACAGAACCTAATAATGGATTCGGTTTCCACATGGATCTTACTGGTTGTGCAAGTTTGAATTTTATTGTCTTGGTTGCTTACTTGTGGGTTTCATGTAGGAGCATTTTATAGAATCCATCAAGGATGACTATGACGTCACGTGTTGGGGTTGTGGATTACGCCTTGTTCTTCCATCAAATGCTCCAATTTTCAAGTGTGGTTGGTGTGGAGCTTTAACAAATCACAATGCGGGGAAACGTGAATGCAAATACTTTTGGTTGAGGCGCTTGCGGGATCGCTGCTTAGTCAGTATCCTGTTCATGTTTATGCTATTTGTGATGTGTATGTACTCGTTCCTCGTGTCATTCGCTTTGGAATCTCTCTCCATTTTGCTTGCACTTTTGTTGACATTCCTCGTATAATATCTTCTGTGTGGGAAATGGTCAAAATATTTCCATGAAAGAAGATCAAGAAAATTTACTTAATTGCAAAATGTGAAACTGCAATGGGGGAGTTAATAGCTTCTTTTTGGGGATTCAGGAGCGTGTTACGAAATTTGCATTGTTTTGTGTGTTCTACAGGTCGAGTAGATAGATTTTGTTTTTCTTTTATTTTTCATGTTGACATGTTTTCTAAAATTGCAGGTGGTGGAGTGTGGGCGCTGTTCCCTGTTCTTTTCGATATCAGCTATTTCCATGGAATTTTTCACTCCATCATTACCTTCATGTTATCTGTAGCCACTGTTTATACAGTCAGTTCTGCTTCATTTGCGTGTGCTGGAACACCTCCATACAGAGTGTGGGGAAGCTATCCAGCTGTGGGGAAGGGTGACCTCGATAATTATACCTTCTGTCACCAATGCTCAAAGCCAAAGTCGCCTAGCACTCATCATTGCCGGTCCTGTGGAATGTGTATATTGGACATGGATCATCATTGCCCATTTGTGAGCGTCGTCATCTTCTTCCCTGTTCGAAAATATGTTGGTCGGTTGTTTTACGGAATATCTTTCTGTCTATTGAATGCTTTATCTTTTAATCACTTGACTTCTAGGTATCAGTAAGACTTGGTTGATTGGGATATGAGATCATAACACTCATACTGATAGCATTGTCGCCGTACGATTTTGATGCAGATTGGGAATTGTGTTGGTGCGTCTAACCACCGACACTTCATTGCCTTCCTCATATCAGTTGTCACCAGTATGTTCTATATTTCTATCATGGCTATGTATGTGGGTTATCATATCTGGCCATCCATAACATACGACCACTTACATGCCGTTGACAGTGATTCAGCTACAACAGCTATCCGTGGGATTATACATGGTTTTCTAAGATCCGCTGTCCTTTTACCCCCTAGAGGGCTTATTCTAATATATCTGTTTGTTTCAAGTGTTTCGTTGGAGATAGGGCTGGGCATACTTCTGTGGCAGCAGCTCAGTTTTATTTACGAGGGAAAGACGTATTTGAGTCATTTAAGTTCACGGGGAAGTGATGAAGTTGGAGAGAAGGATTGCCAAAACCTCGTGCGTTTCTTGGCATTCCCGTATCCCTTGTCAAGATATCTTTCCCTCTGCTCTCTCTCAAGAGTTTTGCCAAGTTTCCAAAAGAAGACGCATAAACACAAGAAGTAAAAGCACTACTCTATTTTCCTTTTCCTTTTCTATTACTCATTTTTTAGGAGGGGGGCTTGATTTTACTTTCATGGTAAGCAAAACTTTGAAGGTTCACGGGGTTTATACACCGAGTAATACTATTCATACTATGTTTTTGTATCATATTTTCATACCATTTTAAGTGACATTTGATGTTGATAGCCACATCATTTGAATTAATCAGATTTTTAAATTTAATTCATTATTTAATAAACTAATAATTAAGAAAAATTAGTTAATTAAATGATGATTGTGGTATACGAGGAGTCTTTCTCCTTCATTTCCTTGGGTTTTGCAAATTTTTCAAATGATGTGGCTGCCCACATTAGATGCCACCTAAGGTGATTCGAAAATGTTGTACAAAAATATGATATGAATAACATTACTCGACTTTTTTTGTAGGGGGATGACTGTTGGAACACTTGTGGGTTTATCGAGTTGTGGATGATTTGTATTATAAATTTAAATTAATTGGAGAAGATGAAACACTTTTGTTTAATTTTATTTACTGTTAGATGTAGATTGCAGAAATGGGTTGGATAATGTTCGGAAAATATAAAATTTATATATGTATTGTTGGAAATGTAATCAGTTACCAGTGAGAAACCTACAATAGCCGTTGCCGGTCACATGTTTAAAAGTGGACTTCCCCACCTCTCGTTTAAAGGATAACATTTCAGTACCTCCTCTCCTCCTCCTCCTCCTCTCTCTCTCTCTCTCTCTCTCTCTCTCTCTCTCTCTCTCTCTCTCTCCGTTAGTCTCTCCGATGGCTACCTGTTCTTATCTTCTCAACCACGTCCAGATTAAAGGTACCAATTAAAACTGGTTTTCGTTCTTCCTGTTTCGGAGTAGCTTTCTGTAAGATTTCATTGTTTTGTGTTCTTGATTTCCAATTTGTTGTAGGATGGCCCTCCACGAGAAGGATATCCAAGCTTGGAAATCTCAATCCTATTGTGAGTACCCCAGCTCTGTTTTTCCATTGCAAATTTGAACTTGGCCAACTTTCTTGAAGCGAATAACTTCTGCACACCCGTTTTCTCTTCATGCACGCTTGTGTTTCGTTGCAAATTGAATTCAAAGGCAAGAGCAGTGTGCTGGAGAAGAAAAAGAAGGGTGTGCGGAAATCGCTTCCCCTCTAACATCGGCCATGTTCAAACTCTATTCATATGATTTCAACGAACTCTTTTCCATCTTGTCAGGAAAGCTTCAAGACAAGAAGTGAAAGGCAGCCAAGGCAAGGACTCCTAATTGCACAATGTTCCTTCTGTTTGGTCCAAGTCGGAGCTGCTTCTCCTACCGCTCTGTTGTCATTGAAGCCATCTGATGATATAGATGCAGTTTCAAACATTTTCCGCATCGGTCCGCCGAGCACGCCACAGAACGTCTCAAATCTAATGCACAACTTGGTGCTGGCAGATTTGGACCCTGCAACAGCAAAGCTAGCAATCGGGTTTCTGGGTCCATTTTTTTCGCTGTTCTCGTTTCTCTTCATAATAAGGATAGTCATGTCCTGGTACCCAAAACTTCCGGTTGGGAAGTTCCCGTATGTGGTGGCTTATGCTCCCACGGAGCCGATTCTCGTGGCAACCAGAAAGGTGATCCCGCCGTTGGGCGGTGTGGACGTTACGCCGGTGGTGTGGTTCGGATTGATTAGCTTCCTAAATGAGATATTGGTAGGTCCTCAGGGCCTTCTTGTTCTCCTCTCTCAACAGCTTAGCAGCTAAGCATACGAGATTAGTCTTGTGCAATATATGAGAACTGTAATTTTTTTGTGGAAGAGTGAATAATAAACTTCGTCGTTGCGACGTTGCCTGTGTTTGTGGTTTCTTATAGCCCGACTGTCGAGAGACGAAAATGTCTACTCATGGACTCATGGACTCTCCGAGTCGAAAATGGCGGAAATTCAAAATGTGAAAGAAAAGTTGTCGAGAAGCATGAGCAAATGCGTTGCAGCAGGTACACAATAAGTAATAAGCACTGTTGCTTTGAAAAGTCGAAACAAACATAAACCGAAGAAACAAGTCTGATATGCCAGTAAAACGATAATGACAAAATGGACCAAACTAAGGCCACAACACACTATCAAATTTTGAACCAGAATTTACGTTTTGGTTCACAGAGATGCAACCCAAAATTCATATATCCGAAGAGCAGTAGCCTAGGGAGCGAAGAAAACCATCACCACATACCATTCAGTTGTATTTGAAGAAGGCGGTTCTAGTCTAGATGTCTGCTGTAAGGAAGTTCGCGGACAATGATACCTGGAAAAGAGATGAATGTTAACCCGAGAGGCAGAGATAGCAAGAGAGAGGGAGCAAGGGATTGATTTTGAATCCAAGAAAACACCTTCTCGCCGGGTTTGAATGGAGGAAGACCTTTAAAAGGACATGTAGCGCATCGAAAAGCATCCCCTAGTCCACACTGCAGGTCGTAATTTTCAGAGCAAAGAAAACAAAACTGAACCAAACAATAAAAATACATCAAAAAGCAGATGGATGAGAAACTAGAGGACATACACTGCCACATTGCGACTTGAAATTGCTCAAATCTACAGTGGAGCCTAACTTCTCTACTTTCTGCTCTTCTTCGGCTCTCCCACATGTGCAGTTTTTACAAGCTTTCCTTGTGCTTCCAACTTCGCAATCACTTGCTGCACAAGCACATTGTTTTAAAGATATACAAAAATTACATTTGACCCCCAAAAGAATCTCATAAGGCCGACAAACAATGAAGACAATTCAAAATAACATAATTTTGAACCATGATGTCTTACATAGCAGCTGGGGTTTCTTTAAGTCCTCTTCTGTTAGTAAACTATCTTCATCAATGAGATCTGAATCATCATTGATCTGAATTTTTGGTAAAGTTTTTGTGGTCTTTTTTAAGGCAAAAGATGAACCAATCTTCCAAGAAGGCTTTTTAGCCTTGACCTACAAAGAGAGAACAAAATTAAAGCTCAAACGACTAATGTTAGCTATGCCAAAGCATATCCCGTGATAAATGAACATGGATACATATTACAAATTTTATCAAAAGCATCCCATCAGCAAGTAAAATCCAAGATATTCTTTTCCTTTTTGTTAAATCATGAAATGCTAGAGTAACCAACAAAATCAGAGATAACAAACGTCCATTGAATGGTATTCTCATGTGCTACCAAAAAAAAAAAAAACAGCAGTGCACCAGTGCAAAAGACTTGGGCAATTCATATACAGGGAGATTGATGACGTGGGTAGAAGAGATTCAATGACACGCCTACAAGAAATTAAATGGAGAACATAATGCTAGCATGATTGAATGACAGGAGAAACTTCACACATAGGATCCTAACTAGACCCTGATAATGGTCCATGTAGCAACTCCAAACAGTTGGAGTTAAGGCCGAAGTGAGTTCAACTAAGTTTTGTGTTATTTAGTTAACAGGCAAGGGGGAGGATTGGGAAACATAGTTTTAGGATGGTAGTAACACAAACTTACCCCAAAAGATAACTCAGATGGTAAACTTGATTTAACTTGAAAAGCTTTTGCTTCTAGAAAACCAGACAATAGTAACTTGCGCTCAATAACGGAGGTGGTCTGCAATAAAACCCAAGTCAGATTTCTCATTCATGCCAAAACAAAATCTATAATGTCACCATGTGAACATTAATTACCTTATCTGTTTCCCCTTTAGAAGCATCAGATATCTTGTAAATTAGAACTGTCCCACCAGGCTTCAAGACTCTTGAGATTTCCCCTAGCAACTGCTCATTTGGAAATTCAATCGATCTACAAAGAGTAAACACAATATTGACAGTGGAAGGCCCCACCGGCAGCTCATCTGTCATGTCATATACCAAAACAAAATGAGATGAACACTAAGTTTTTGGCTACTATGTAAACTACGCAGATGACAAACTAGTGAGAATTAAAAATAAATAGCTAATCCTAGACCGGTAGATCCAACATAAAAACTAAGCAATTGACCATTGGATGCTACACAATACTGCCCAATATGAAATATCAGAATACCGAATACGAATCTGGTTCATAAGTAGCGATTTAATCAAGCAATGGTTTATAAAACAGCTTTGTAATCCACGGAAACATATTGAAAGGCACTGTCGGAGAAAAAGCGTGAGGTAAATAAAATAATACAGACAATACTACATTAAATCACAAAACCGAATAAGAAACTTACTTGAAGAAGACAGAGTGACAATTTGAGGTTCACACTTTTCGGTCCCGAGCTCCCTTGATGCATCAAAAACTAGACCAACCGGTAGAACTCCATCATCCGTAAATGCCAGCACAGATCCCTGCAGAAACCAAGTCAACATATTTCAGTGGGCAAATCAACTGCTAAGATAATACGACGAACAAAATCATCTATGAATCTGAGAAAAAAAGCTTAGTTCTTGAAATTTTGAGGCTGAAGAACTAATAACAGCTGAAACAAACACAAAATCAAATCGATAAAATGACAAATAATAAAGTCAGGTTCTTCATTCTTAAATTAAAAAATCAAAATAAAAAATTGCAATAAGAGTCGGAAAGGTCGATTAATATCTAAAGCTTAAAAGTACTCAGTTCTTTTGTTTTTTAATTTCGCTTTCAGTTTTCTGAGCAGCCAAACGGTCATGAATCGCAGGGAAAAAAATCGCAGTAAATGAAAAATCGAAAACACAAACGCATTGCAATAAGATCTAAGCAAGCAATTGCAGAACAAGGAAGATAATTGAGATCTGAAAGGGTTTAGACCAGAGAAAACTGACCATGGCGTCGAAGGAGGAACAGATCTTCAAGCCCTAAAAGCAAAAACCGCAGCGTATCGATTCTTCTACAGCCCAGCCAACAATGCCTCGTGCTTGTATTTGTTCGCTGCCGACTTCCCTTTTCTCTCTTGCGTTCGGCGATTTGGCAACTTGGTACGCTGCGTGGGAAGTATTTAAAAGGAATACGTGGACGATGGAGTATGGAGTATGACGTGTAAACCAATTCGTGAGCCGGGCACACTTGGCCGCGCGTGGGCCTTCTGGATCCTTGACACGTGTTTACAATTATATGGAAAATTACGGCTTTTTCTTATTTATTTATTGTCTAGGGCTTTTTTTTCTTCTGATTTTATGTATAATTAACGTTTTCTTAGTGTAAATAATAAAAAAATAATATATATATATATATAATAAAAATGTATGATTGGTAATGTATTCGTTGCATGAATGTATAGGCATTCAAAGTCAATAATGCGCAGGCATTTCTTTTCTTTTTATGCGCAACACGTAGATTTCTGATCTTTAAAAAAAAAAAATTAAAAACGGAAATAAAAAATATGTGATAAACGAAAAAAAAGAGCGCAGAAATGATTTCTCGTGTTTATGGCCGGATTTGTTTATGGTTCGTTCATCCAAGTGCAAAGCCAGGTTTGGGCAAATAAATCTGCAAAACCAGTTGAGTTTCTTTGTGCTTAAAAATTAATTGAGTCAGCACTTCGTACCATAAAACTTGGGTCACTAAAAACATCCAAAGTCTCGTAATCCATACGACAACACTCGAAGAGAATATCAGAGCTACAACAGCATCAGATGAAAGAAAACTACTAAAATCACACTGACCACAAATCAAGGGAGGAAGGAAAGCAAGAAATCCTAACAGAATCCGCAACTAGAAAATCGAAATCAGTAGTCCACTGACTCATCAACCTCGGCAATAGGAGTCTCGAGGATGGCTTGCTCCGCTTCCTGCACCTCTTTCTCGGTCTTCCTTCCCTTCTTGGACTTGTAGTACACACTCATGAAAGTTCCCACAGCACCATACTTCCTCCTGCAGTTCTCGTAATGCCCCGCATCAAACATCCTCCAGAAGTTCTTCTCGTTCAGCTCAGACACAGCATACTGAGGCTGGAACCCGTGGTTCTCAATCAGCCAATTCTCCATCCGGCGAACTGCTTCTGAACCATCAAAAACCTCACCCCTCAATACCGGGCCCGGTGCATAGTAGACACCAACATCTGTGTACATCTGAGAGTATTGCGTGTCTCCCTGTCTACGGTGTTGCTCAAAGCCTGGTTCGGTGTATATCATTGTCTTGATGGGATTCTTGTACATTCTGTGAGGGCAGAGCCAGATGGGGTACACCTATAGAATCAACAAAACAGGATCAACAAAATGGATTATGGAACATGATTAAATTCAAAATGGACTTTCGAGTTTAAGTAAAACAAGACATGTTTACCTCCATCTCATGGTGAACCCATTCCAATGCATCCCCGACCTTGAAAAGAGGAACGAGCATGTCTTGAATGACGTGATTGTCGTGGTAATAGTTTCTAATGGCTTCACCTTGAGTAGCCTTGAGTAGGGAAATCTTGGGTGGCATCATCCAGCCCAACAAAAATCTGAACCACCACTGATCAGCAAATGGAAGGATAAGCTTTCCCTCCCAATAAATACTCCGGGTGTGCCTGTGGTAATAGTCCCTTGTCGGGATGTATTCTACAAACTCCCCTTTCTTTAGTGCTTTCTCGGCATGCTGGTAGAACCAGGGTTTAAACCACCACCCAACTTCGTTAATAACATTGCCCTTCTTCTTCGCTTCTTCTTTTGAAGCATATCTTCCCGTCATGCACACAGCTTCTGTTGGAGTATAAATCATGGTTTCAACAAAGTCTGGAACCTTTTCGGGGTTGTCCTGATCTCCATCTCTCGGGGCAAAAGAATCGCTGTATGCCTGAGCAATCTCTTTCAGATTTCCTACCACAGGTTTGTATGTCAGCCTCATGTATTCCTTGATAGGTATGAGCTTGATCTCAGCAGATACAAGAAGCCCCAATGTTCCCTGAGACCATGGAATAGCATAGAAAAGATCAGAGTACTCATTATCCCTGGTGGCTCTGACAACTCGGCCATCTGCAAGAACAATCTCATAGGCCACAACAGTATCAGAGAACAGTCCATAGATGTGAGAGCTTCCTTCAATTCCATAGCCATTAATGAGACCACCAACAGTAAGATCATCAAACTCAGCAACCACGGCAAGGGCAAGATTCAATGGAACCGTTACCCTGGTTATCTGCCCCATGTTGACTAAGGGCTCAACTTTCGCAATCATTCTCTCTCGATCAATTTCAAGGACATTTCTGAATGCAGACAAATCAACCTCAAAGTGACGAGCCCTCTTGTAGTCAACATTCCTCATTCCAACAGCTATCCACGGTTTTCGTGCTGTGCAAACAAGCCCATCCTTTGATGGGTTCCTGTCTTTGAGTCGTTTTACAACCTTCTGAACATTTTCATCATGTTCCTTTTGACGCCTCTTGTAGGATTTCATCTCAGATCTTACATCCCCGAGGTACGTGAGAAAGTACAAAGTGAAGGAGATGGGGAGAACAACAAAGATAACAACAATCCATCGGAATTGAACAAGAAAGTCCACCAAGGCCGTCTTCCTCTTTGGACGCAGTGGGGTTCCAAGATCCGACATCTTGAAAGCAGAACCCTATTCTGTTGTACGAAAAATATAATTGCTAGTTAGCACAATGGGGATAATATGGCATATACTTTTATACCATATTACATGGGATTAGGCATTCTTTATACATTGCACTATCTGTTACATACATTATAAACAGATTACCCTCACGCCGATTGCAGCAAACCCAAAATTCTAGTAACGTGACTTGGTGACGTCAATGAATGCCACAATACCATATAAACCAACAAATGAAGGAGAAAGAGAAGTATGTCATGAAAAATCAACTACAACCAATACATGGATACAACAAAGATCCTGTCCATCGCCTACCAAAAAGGAATACAATTAAGCTAGGATTAGTACCAAAATTTGATTGTTCCGCAAGTAATATGCGTTACAAATTTATAATTCTCAATTTTTTCAGAATCTTACCAGGCATGCAAACTTTCCTTTTACAGATTACTATAGCTATAGTTGGAAAATCGAGTGTGACAAGTAAACAACTGATAAGGACATACAATTAGAGTTCCAGAATAGATTTTGTTTCCACATAAAAGTTAGCGCAATTTGCATATGATGAGTTGTCAGATTTAGAAGTTACTAGAGTTGGAAAACACGAAAGCATTTTACTTCAACCTCAATGATTACACGCAAACAAGAATTACAGCCCAACAAAGCTGAAGAAAAAAAAAAGCTCTTCCTTCATATCATCTGAAGGCTTTTCTTTTTCTAAACGACTGTTACAAATTTACAACCTCAACGATTATTAGTTGCTGTAAACATACATCGAAAAATAAAAAACACAACTTCAGATACAATGTGCATCAGATCGGACAAACAGCATCGGTGTAACCACGCATTCAAGTGCAGTTTATGTTTATCACATGCTTGACAAGAAAATTGATTTGCCAAAACTAAATCTTAAATAATAACTAGAGATAGTGAAATCAGTTTCAAAACACAAATGAGAACATTATCCGATTTCTACGAGATCCATTAGTTAATGCGAGACCTCGCACCTATAAGTGGAGAGGAATGTCACTATACCGTCTCCCCAGAAAGACCTTTAATTTGAATATCAAGATCTACTTCTCTTTCCAAATAATTTCTTTATTACAAGCGATATCACTACTTTAAACTAGAGTAAGGGGAAGAGAGGGTGAGGTTTTAAACCCGAGAAGCTGTGACCTCATTACACTCAACAAAGTCCAACAACCTCCAATGGAGACTACAGAAAGACTCAAACCACATTGTCAAAGCTCCATTTTCTCTCGTTTTCTCAGGAAACAAACAGATCTCAGCACAAAAACACACCCCACAGTCAACCCCCAAACATAAAAAGAAACCACCTTTAAACAAAAAGTCGTAAAATTTCAAACTGTAACGAAGCGGCTAAAATCTAGCAGTAATCAAAACACGAGAGTGAGAGAGAGAGAGAGAGAGAGAGAGAGAGAGTACCTGAAGGTGCCGAACCACTTGCAATGTCGGAACCGTAGAGGAACCGATTTTTAAGGGCAAAATCCCGAAGCACCAGAGCGAGTGACAGAGTGACACTACGTGTGTGCGGCCCAATGCATTTATTTATTTTAAAAATTATTTGCTGAAACAATAAAAGTTTATAAAAATGTAAAGAAAGTGAAGTGGAGAGGACAAAACATTGAAGAGCCCGAGACATCTCCAGTCAAGCCCCATGTTCCCCGAGGCATTGAACGGATTAGGATACTCTCTAAATTCTCTTTTAAGAATCCCGAAAATTTTCAATTCATCTTCGTTGTTCCTCGTACATCATACGTTAAAAAATTAATTTAAATATTTTTATTTAAAATTAAATATGAATAATATTTGATGAAAACTGACTGCACAATATACAATGAACGGATACGATTTGAGAATTTTTAGAATCCTTACAAAGAGAATCCGAAGATGATTCTTATTCGCATTGAATAACTTAGTTAAAAGATTTTTTTTTATTATTTATAAAATAAATTAAGCTTAAATAAGCTAGTTAAATGACTAATTTTTTAATTAGAAAACTAATTAAAAATGATTTGAAAACTTTAAGTTTTCATCAAAAAACAAAAATGTATTGTAAATTAATAGTATCAGGAGTAACTTTTTAGAGTAAAAATATCATTTTCATTAAAAGTGAACAGTATCAGGAATATTTAGTTAAAATTTCTTTTTTTTATTTTTTATTTGTAAACGGTGATAACTCAACTTAGATAGAATGAGAGAGTTAATTTTTTGCTAAACACTAAAAACTATATGCGCTTCAACTAAAAACTATATGCGCTTCAACAGAGGAAAAAGAACTCTAGTTGTTAAGTATAGGAAATATGATATTAAAATATTTTAACTTAAAATAACTGATATTGTTAAAAAAAATACGTTAATTCTAAAAAATATTTACATTTTTATTAAGATTTAATTTTTTAAATATTTCCACAATAAATGGTTTC